TGCCCGTAGGGGGCCCTCGCTACAATCACTCGTTACCCGAGAGCCGGCCAGAATACAACCAGTCAGCAGATGCCATCCTAAATGAATCGCCAAAAGAGGACATTGCATCTAGTTATCATTCTCGAGGCTTTTCTGATACGACAGGAATTAAGTCCATGCAACAACGCGTGCAGGCTCGGGTCATGGAGGGCTCACCATCATCTTCCGATCAAGATCTAGTGCCAGTGGAACGGCAACAGGCCGGCACTGCTAGTGTCAGTGATCGCAGCAGTGAAGAGGGCGACTGGAAGCAGCAAGTAGATCCTCCGGCCACCGTCGTTGGGGAGAATCTACGACCTCAATCTCCTCCTGACCCGGTAGCCATGCCGCCGGCATTTATGCATGCACCAGGAGAGACTCCTTCAAACCGGCCATTACCTTCGCCGGATCTGAGGAAGGCCAATAACAGGATGTCCGACAGCACTCTCTCACAGCTCGCCGCCGCTGGAAAGATGAATCTATCCAGCTTGGCCCTACCCTCAACTGCCGAACATAGAACCCAAGAGTCCAGTGGCACCGACCAGTTCAACCGCCCATCGGCTCCGTCGAATGAGAGTTCCGCAGATCAAGCACAAAACTCGCCAGCGCCAGTTAGTTCGAACAACGTCTTTGGCCCACCACTTGTCAAACCGATCGCAGGTGACCTTCACCAAGACGGTACAAAGGCTGTGAGAAGAAAGCCTGTACCTTCACAGCAGCTGGGAGAGTTCGACGCTACCAGTCCCACCGGGGAGCCCAGTTTCGACGACCTGCGCCATACAGTGGACGAAGAAGCCCTGAACCGCATCTCCTCCCGTCAGCTGTCATCCCGTTCGCCCGTCAAAGAACGCCAACCGGATGATGAGAGCGTCTACGATGACGCTTCCACAACTTCCCCTGACTATGCCAGTACGCACGAGTCGGTATATAGCAAAAAGTCCGTCAAGTCTGTTTCAAAGCCCAGAATGGGGGTCATGAAGACCGTGGGGACGGAGCCCAAAAAGGATCTTGTCATTGGGGACGCCCGTTATACGCTTGATGAGCCGTCGCGAATCGAACCGGACATTCCAACGGTAGATTTCGGGCCAACACTTACCTACCTGCCCACCACTGGACGTCCGAGCACATCGGACACTCTGAAGAAGTTTACGCATCATAGGACCGGTTCGGATGCCACGGAAAAACAGCGCTATGCGGTGCCGACACATCCCATGGACCGCGCTCATACCAGGTCTCCCAGTCAGGACCGGCGGAGTATTTTATGGCAGCCGGGCATGGCACGTCCGACGACCCCTGGTGGCGGTCTTTCCCCAGAGCAATTCGTGCAGCAACGAGCTGCCCCTAGCCCGCCAATCCATGTACACCACCATCGGGCAACTTCTACGACTCCTCCGCCTCGGAGACCGCTCTCGGGAGACTGGATGGCTCATACTCGCTCCAAGTCTCAGATGACTATTCCCAGAGATCCCCAACCTCGGCCCCATTCCCGTGGCGCCAGTAGCATGATGAACTTCAATGACATTTCATCCCACCTCTCGGCTCGGGAGCAGGAGCACGTGGCTCGTATGACAGGATCTTCTTTCTTTGATATCTCTAACGACAAGAGCAAACAGGCACCTCCCGTTGATCCAATGGGCCTTGTTGGTGCGATTGATGCTCGAGAGCGCGAGAAGAAGAGTATCAAAGAAGGAATGTCGAATCAGCTGGTGCAGCACGCAATTGCGCAACGGCAACAACACTGGCAGCACCACCAACAGCAGCAACTTGCCACAACACCTCCTCCTCAGAATTACGGGCTACAAAGTGGCGTTCATAGCAGTGTTTACAATCTCCCGGCGGCGAGTCACACTTGGGATGCGCTCAATCAAACTTATCGTGCTGATGAGCCTCGCCGTCAGTCTTGGTATGGGCCATTTGCGGCTCAGGCACCCCAAACACCGCCAATGTATCCACAAAGCCAGCCTCTGAACCAGCAAGCTGGCTACTTCGGGAGTGCAAACCCTTTGCATCATTAGTGCTTTCGTTGCTGATACACTTTGACCCTTCTTCCTTCCCTAGACCCTTCTCTCTTATCTCTTCTCCCAATCGCTCAGTTTCTTTTGTCGTCTTATACCAGCGTGCGCGCTCTTTTTCAGATGTTATGCTTTTTCCTACTTTTGCAAATGTGCCTCAAAGGGGTTGCATCTATGTAGACTTCTTGATGCTCCCTAGAACTAGACTGTCTAGATTCCTGCGCAGGATCTCCCTTGCTGATTTTCCTCTCATTTACTTTGCTACAGCAATTGCTTCGTCGCACTACGCATTGAATGGAGTTGTGAGAGCAGGTCTGGCGTCTTCGGTACTGCTTCAGTTGCCTGTCATTCTTTCGTGTCGTTTTATGTCATTGCGGCGGTGGGCTGGCTTTTGACTCATTGGGAAAGAATCATACTATCGTGTGTCTTTGGCTTACTGTGGTGGTTTCGTGTACATAGGACGCATTGCATACAACTGGGCAGGATACAGGCCTGGTTTTATCACCTTCAATCTTTTCATTACTCGATTTTGTGATTTCACTTCTTTATACTTGCTATTGAAAAAGGTCCATGGCCAGCCTTCCCGGGTACGATTTGATCACGGCACAAGGGAAGCTCATAAAGAGGTAAACCAATATTTCTCTGATTTGCTGTGTATGCTCTGTCAAATTGGACGCTGCTCCCTGCGAGTATATAAAAAAACAATAATGCAATGCTGGAGAGTCCCGAAACGCCATGGCTACCAGTAATCCCAATCACATCTTCGACAAGACACCCCCCGTATCAACCACGGTTCAAATCAGATTCTCAGTTCGATATGGAATTGATACAACTTGTATTTCTTCTTTTTCATTCTTTCTTTTCTGGACGATAATAACGACACTCAGCTCGAATGCAACTTCTTCACTCTCAGGGCACCCTCGTACAACCCACGGTCAATGGCCGCGGCAACGGTCAAGGTACCACCGATGATGGCACAGACGCCGGTCAGGAAACCCGAGAAACTCTTGGGCCGGGCCTCGCGGTTGATGACCTTCATCGGCGAGATGTCGTAGTTGAAGAAGACGCCGGGGATGCCGTTCGCGGCGTGCAGACGTTCCTTGTGCCCTTCGTCTGAGGCGTCGCCGCCGCGCAGGGACCGCTTGTGCGAGGTCACGGAGTACTGGTGCGTTTCGATGCTGCCTCCGGAACCGTACGCGATGCCGTGGGAGCCCAGGGGGATCTGGTCGTGGGCGTTGTGGGCGGCGGACGAGAAGAGCGGGTCCCAGCCCAGGGGCAGGTAGGACGTTGAGACGACCTTGACGAAGTAGACGAAGTTGTAGGCCGGGTCATTTGTCTCCTGGCTGGTGCTGTCGAGCGGGTTGGTGTGGTGGTGGTCTGTCCACTGCCAGCGGTCGGAGACCTCGTCGGGGAGCTGGGGGCCGAAACGCAGCTGGTGGATGTGGTGGGTCATGGTGTGTTTTTCGTTGTCCGGGAGCTCGAGGTCGAGGTAGTTTTGCAGGTCATGCGCGTGGACCTGGCCGCTGGTGAAGCTGCGGCCCGGGGCGATGTGGAAGTTGCCGACGACCTTGTTGACACGCAGGATGCCCTCGAGGCGACAGCCTTCGCGGCGTTGGGCGTCAATGCGCGCTGCGTAGCCCTCCCGTTCGCACTGCTCAATGTTGGAGCCCTTGCCAAAGGCCCAGTTCTTGGCGGCGTAAGCTTCGCGCACTTCGTCGCAGGTGTTGCAGCAGCCTTCTTTGATGGAGCCGGGGAGAGGGTCGGCGCCGCCGCAGTCGCCGCAGTAGTTCGGGTCCAGGTGTTTGGCGATTTCCTCTTTAGAGTGGCTGGCGGACGCACACAACTGTTAGCAAGGGACGACAACGGTAAAAGAAGTTGGCTGCTCACAGGTCCAGAGCTTGAACATCCAGCACACGGCCTCCCTCGGCAGGAGAACTCAGGCGCACCTTGTTGACACCGTGTGCCACGCCAACTTGCTGTTCGCCAGAAACATCCATAACGTCAAGGGTTAAAAGCTCGCATGGTAGTCGGGGAAAGGTGATGTTCATGTGGATCTCCATTCGCTCGCCTATTCAATGCCATCGTCCGCATCAGTCCCTATAGCCATGTTCTCTGTTCTTCGTAGGTCCATACCTCTCGACTTGTCAACAACCAGTTCTGGAAGAACAACCACTCGTCTATAATCCAGCCATTCTCCCCAAACCAGATACAGGATGACTACCAACGAGGCCAGAGTGATGACACCTCCGGAGGTGGTACGGATGCGAGCATCCTCGACTGTTTTGGCGAAAGCATCAAGCCTCGTAAATCGCGACTTGGCAGGCATCTTTTCAACGAGCGACGATCATAAGGTCGAAAAAGTAGACGATGTTGAGCAGCAGCTCGACGAATTGATCAGCAATAATAGCGCGCCCGCACGGAGGGGAATCTATAGCGGAGGTATTCAATGTCAATTAAGCTCAATTGGTAAACAGCTAGGGAATGGCGACATGTAAATAAAACGGCACAGGAGGCATCGACGCAACTTACACGTCAGTAAGGTCACTCCGCAAAAAAATCATCAACAATAAAGATTGAGTGTCGGGGAGTTTCTTCTCATCAAGCCGGCCTTTGGAACAAGCTGTCCTGATGAATCCCAAAACGAACTAAAGCATCGGCTTTACTCCCGGTAGTCGACGCTAAGAGGCGATGGAGACTTGGAGGAGTACAGCGCGTATCAGGTACCGCTGATAAGCCACGCAATCTGGCTGCTTTGGTATTGGTATTTCAAAAAGGACAGAGAGCAGTTGCTGATTGGTGCATGGAGCCCACTAAATCTCACTCTCATATACTGGAATTTGATACAGAAAAATAGATCGCCCTGTGATGGTAGGTTACACTATAAGCTACTAGATAGAATCAACATCAGACTTGATTGTCACAATGCCATGGCAAAAGATTATTAACGCAAAAAATATGTTCAAAAGAAATTGCCTCCGGGGAGGATCGAACTCCCGACCTTGAGATGTCCCAGAAGTACTCTTCTGAGTCATATGTGAGATATGAGACTCACGTGATAACCAACTACACCACAGAGGCAATTGTTGGATGACAGCGCTGGAAACTAAGTTTATCAGCAAGTCCGACAGCCTTTGAACTGAACCTGGGTCGGAGCTTGTATGCGTCTAGCTCCCCTCAGGCATCGACAACACCCAGAGCAAGAAGTCCGCCCACGTGACCAGGCTGGAGCCTGCCGAAATGCTTTTGATTCACGTCACTTTTTGTTCTTTACTTTTGTCCGACAGCCTCAAACCTCTGCTAGAGGTTCACATCGCCTCGTCATCTCCTCAAAAACATACGACTTCATCAGCTCATCTCCTTTGAAACCACATACTTGGAAATCCTCACCTTCTTTTTCTCCCCCACTCACCTATTTCCTTCGTTACATGTCGAATCCTTAAGTGGAACTCGGTTTCTTCGAGGCGCACCGCGCATTTCCGCCTGTTACTCACCCTAAAGTCCTTCCAACGTCCACTTCCACCCTATTCCTCTGTCTCCCAGCTCGGACTTTACTTGACACTAAAACACCATGAAAGGAAAAGGCTCTCGAGCTCGCTCCGGCGCCTCAGATCGCGGAGGCATTCGCAAGCGGGGTTCGACACGAATCGACCGAGATGGCGACCTTTCTATGGATGGGGGCGCCGCTCGCGGGCGTGGAAAGAGGGGTCGCGGCGACACAGGCCGTGCGACTCCGGCTGGTGGACGGCCTCAAGCTCGGGACAGGACTTTGCATGCGATTCAGAAGGCGATCGCCAGTAATGCGGACTCGCAAGCGAATATTCGGCAGGGAACTCGAGGAGCGGGCTTGGAACAGGTCAGCGTTCGTGGCTGGAAACAGAGCAAGGCGGCTTCCAACCGTGATGGAGGCCTTGAGAGTCTCATCGCTTTCCTCGAGAAAAAACTCACTGCACCCGATTCGAAAGCTGGCGCCCGCGCAAGAATAACAAAGGTATGTGCAACACCAGAATTGGCGGTCACCGACAGCAAAAACGCGCGGCGGTCGTACTCTCCGGTCTGTCCTCGTCTTCTCCAGGCATGGTATTTCAGAACGACGATCGGCAACGTCTAGGGTCCTTTTTTTTTCTCGAGCGTTTGTTTGTTTGGGTGACTGCGGTTTCAAGGTCTCTTAAGCCTTGCTAACTTTCACTAGTCGCGAGTTGAAGGCGACTCTGTAATAGTGTCTATCCGACCCGAATTGTTGGATAGAATGCTTCAGATGAATGGTTTTAGTTTTGCGGGTGCGCCGCTTACGATCGAAGCGTACGGGCCGTCCGCGAATGGAATGACGGATCAACCGATGCTCTCGGATATCGCCCAGAATGGCGGTGCTCCCTCGACCGCCGATACCAAGAGCAAGATGACTGCGATTTTGAGCAAGCGATATTATCAACAGACAAAGTTGCTTGATCTTTCGAAGCTGGGCAGCGACCCCGATCTTTTGGCCATGGGCATCTTCAATAGCACATCCACTGAGTCGAAGTTCTTCCCCGCGCTGATGAAAGTCTGGGAGATGAACTTCGACAGTTCTACGGCGAGGCGTGAGGCCGTTGAGAGTGTCAGTCTTGCAGACAACCAACTTGCAAACATCGCAGTCGTTACAAGTCTAGCTCAAACGATCCCCGACCTGAAAAACCTGGACCTCTCGAATAATAACTTCAAAGACGCGCAGTCCTTGATCGGTTGGCGATGGAAATTCCGCAACCTTGAATTCCTCGACCTTACTGGTACTCCTTTTAGCGCCGATCCTACCTTCAAGGAGACAATGATGAAGTGGTACCCGAAGTTACGAGTATTGAACAATGTTGAAGTTCGGACCGCGGAGGAGATCGCTGCCCAGAAGAAAACACCGATTCCTGTTCAGCCACCTCACTTCTTGGATGAATCGCAAATCGCGGAGAACTTTGTCCGGGCATTCTTTGTTGGTTATGACAATGACCGCAACGACCTTCTCAACGGTGTTTACGACAATCACTCGACATTCTCCTTGAACGTTAACACATCCGCGCCGAGGGCTCAACAGACCGAGACCGCTGGCTGGGATCCTTACATCAAAAAGAGCAGAAACTTACTCAAGATCAACCACCTTCCAGCTAGAATGTCTCGCGCCTATGTCGGTGTGGAGAAGATTCGTGAAGTCTGGAATAGTCTTCCTAAAACCAAACACCCTGAGGTGGCAGCTCATCCGAACGAATGGCTCATCGAATGCTTCCCGGTGCCAGGTCTTCCAGATCCGTCCGGGCAGAGCAGCACTGGAGTGGGTGGTCTTCTGATCATGGTTCATGGGAAATTTGAGGAGCTTATTGATGGAAAAGTTGAGGTGCGCAGTTTTGATAGGACATTTATCCTTGGTCCTGGTGGAGGAGTTGGTGGCATCAGAGTGATCAGTGACGTTCTTTGTCTGAGAGCATATGGAGGACATGAGGCATGGGTTCCTGAAACGCCAACGGCCCCTCCGTCGGTTCAGCCAGCGATTCAGCCAGCAGCTCCCCAGGCAGTCCCAGAAGGCTATGGTATGCCGTTGCCCGGAAAGCCCCAGACGCAGGTCCAGCAAGAGCAGCTGGTAATGCAGATGAGCACGAAAACAAACATGACTTTACAGTATTCCGAAATGGCACTATCAGGAAATGGCTGGAACATGGAGGCTGCTCTGAAGAACTTTGAAGAACTCAAGGTAGGCTTACCCGGACTCGCCCGTCTCAATGGTACATTAACACTAACTGCGTTCGCATCTGCAGGCACAAGGAACATTACCTCCAGAAGCTTTTCTTCCTGGAACGGTCTAACACTTAAGACGATCACCATGTCAATGTTCTTGATCGGCCTCTCATTATCACTCAACGCACAACACAAGGAAACAAGTGTGGTAACTCGGAGTACAGATTCTATTCATATCATATGGGTGGTTAGCTTCTCTGCATGGCTTTGGCGAATGGTTTGGCTTCATAATAGCCGTTTGGGTTTATCTCGCTTTTATTGTTGTTTTGAAAAGAGCGTTCTCCATCTGGATGCTACGATATCATGTCCGCATAGAAGAGAAAATATACATCAGCCGCTTTCTGCTGCGGTATTCACACTACAGCAACAATCTGCTTGAGAGGTAGATGGATACCATAAATATGATGATGGCATTTGATATGGACTCTTAAGCTTCCAAAATCATGGCCATTATAGTGATTAGGTATTTCTGGCTCAAAACCAGGTCGTAGTAATGTTCAAAATCAATAATGTTTGATGCCTGAACGCCAAGGCATACGCTAAGCTGCTCCGCGCCGGTATTGATTTATCGACAGCTATCCGCAGTCAATGAACAAAGAGCCCTTCAGTCAATCTCGCTCTCCTAGTTCCCCTTTGATCTCTTATCTTCTCATTTGGGCCAATTGGCAGATGGTCACTTGTCGCAACCGCAGCATGTGCCCTGCGTTTACTACCCCTAAGAGCTAATGGAATGTCCGTCTCGACTCCCACCTCCTCTACCGGCCATATGCCACCCAACGGCGCGGCGGACCTCGATCCATTGGATGCAGGTGAGCACACCAACCTGATTCGATTCCAGTCGAACGGTCTTGCTAATAACCCGGCATTAAATAGCTGATTACGACCCGATCGACCACCTGAACGCGATTTTTTCCCACCCCTCCACCCTCTCCTCCGTGTCCGAGGTGTCTCAATCCCTCCGTGAATATGAAGACGAGCTCGACCATGACATTGCCACGCTGGTGGAGGAGCAGGTCACCTCCAACGCCGAGAGCGTGGAGCGCATCCAGGCAGCCAAGGCCGATCTGACGGAGCTGTTCAAGAAGATCGACGATGTGCGCGACCGCGCATCCAAGACGGAACAAGCGATTACGGAGATGACGGCGGACATCAAGCAGCTGGACAATGCGAAGAAGAATCTGACGCAGTCCATGACCACACTCAAGAGGCTGCAGATGCTGACGACGGCGTACGACCAGCTCCGTGCCCTGAGCAAGACGAGGCAGTACCGCGACTGCGCCCAGCTGCTGCAGGCGGTGATTCAGCTGATGGCGCACTTCAAGTCATACCGATCGATTGACCAAATTGCGCTCTTGAGTAGGAATGTGGCGGATATTCAGCGGGAATTGCTGGAACAAGTCTGCGAGGACTTTGAGCTAGCGTTTGCGAAGGGGGAAGTTGCTCAGAATCGAATCACGCTGTCGGAGGGCTGTCAGGTTATGGATGCCTTGGGGGAGAGTGCGAGATCCAGGCTGGTGACCTGGTATTGCAATTTCCAGTTGCGGGAGTATCGGCAGGTCTTCCGGAACAACGACGAGGCGGGCTCGTTGGACAATATCTCCCGGAGGTATTCGTGGTTCCGGCGCATTCTGAAGATCTACGATGAGGAGTATGCGGCAATCTTCCCGGCGTCTTGGAGGGTCAATGAGATTCTCGCGAATGTCTTCTGCGAGGGAACTCGCGAAGATTTTAAGGGGATACTGTCCCGGTCTGTTCGGAACGGTCAAACGATCGATGTTAATTTGCTACTCTCGTGTCTTCAGGAGACCCTGGACTTTGAGCATTCTCTTGAGCGTCGGTTTGCCAGCCCAGCCCGGCCCTCCACCGACACCTTTGCCTCAACTGAGACTCCTGTTTTCGGCCAGGCTATTTCAGAGGCATTCGAACCATACCTCAGCGTATGGGTTGAAGCTCAAGACAAGCAGCTGGCTGCGCTTATACCCAAGTACCGGCAACAACCCATTAGGCCGCCGGACGAGGAATTCGATTCCCACGTCGTAATATCTTCGTCTACAGAACTTTTTACTTTCTACAGACACTCCTTACAGCAGTGTGCGAAACTCTCCACCGGCGGAAGCCTCGCTGACCTCGCCAAGGTCTTTGCCAAGTATCTGGACCAGTATGCGCAGCAAGTCCTTCTGAATTATATCAGCGAACGGCCTACAGGACATACACCGTCGAATGTGCCATCATTGGAAGACCTCATCTTGGTCCTCAATACAGCCGATTACTGCTACACCACTTGCAACCAGTTGGAAGAGAAGATCAAAGGCAGGCTCGACAAGAACCTCAAACCGAGTGTGGACCTGCAAAGTCAAGCAGACTCTTTCATGGGCATTGCGTCTGCCGCAATTAGGGGTCTGGTACGGAAAGTCGAGATCAACCTAGAACCCTCCTGGCGCGAAATGCGCAACACGCCCTGGAGTCGGCTCGAGGCCGTCAGTGACCACAGCTCTTATGTTGGGGAGCTTCTGTCCAAGACCCAGGCCACGTTCTCGGAAATCTTGCAGTTCTTGCATAAGCAGCAGTATGCTAGAGCTTTCGCCGATCATGTCGTAGAGCTCGTGTCGACCCAGTTCATCTCGAATATATTCCAATGCAAGCCTATTACGGAGACTGGCGCGGAGCAGGTATGTAATTCGCTTCTAGCCCCGTGAAATGTTGTGGATCGAAAGCTAACGTATATCAGATGCTTCTGGACACATACACTCTCAAAACCGGCCTTTCCTCCCTCCTCCCCGCGCCAGCTCCAGCAAGTTTCGTAAAGCGCGTCAACGCCAGCTTCTCAAAGATCGAAACCCTCCTCAAAACCCTGCAAGTGCAGCCTTCGCCCCCCGAGGCCCTCGTTCAAGCCTATCTCATCCACATTGCCGACCGCAACAATGCAAACTTCCGCAAAATCCTCGACCTCAAGGGCATCCGCAGCCGCCAGGAGCAGAACCACCTCGTGGAACTATTCCAGATCCACCGCACCTCCGAGCGCTACGCCTCGAATCTCCAGCAGAGCAACCCGGTCCTAGCAGCCATGCAGACCACTCCTGCCCCCTCGTCAAGTTCCGTCTCCCAGGGGCTCGGACTAGGAGCTGCCGCGTCCATTGGCGCCTCGAATCTACCTACTCGCTTTGACCCGTCCATGCTCGGGTCCGCCCTCATCTCAGCGGCCAAGGACGGCGTTGACCGATTTGGCACGCCGTCCAGCGGGACTAATCCTAGTGGCAACACCGGCGGCGTATCCACCCCTCCGCCTTCTGGTACGACAGGACAGGGGCAGGGTCAGGGCGGGGACATGAGCTCGAATCTGAACGAGAATTTGAAGAATATTGGGAAATTCTTCAGAAGAGATCTGGGAGGGTTCGGTGGGAGATTTGGCGGTAGTTGAAGAATCGTTGTGTTTGCTTGTTGATACCAGGAGACTATATATTTGCAGGAGAAATGTAATTTTTACTCCTCACAAAGCGGTTCGATACCGGAAATATGGACACATGATATTCATTCATAGGACTACCTGCTATAGCAAACTTCTACCGGTGGGAGCCACAAGCGCAATTCACGCAGATAGTTCCTACTGTTGATTCTACGAGCGGTGCGTCAAGAATATCCTGTTTATCACAATTAGCATCACGTCATGAATAGTGCGAGTGCATGTGATGGCAATGAGGCAATGGATAAAATAGGCGTCATCAAAAAATTAGAGTGTTTGTTGTTGCATTGTTTTTGATCTTCAAGGCACCCTCCAGGGGCTCCGAGTTAAAAAATATAATCATCCGCCAGGACAGGGAATGTGTTGGTGGAGGGAATTTGCGAGAAAATGAAGGGGGAATGCTGGCTTACCTGCTACTCATCGAAAGATAGTGGAGCGTGTCTACGTCCACATCTAGATGAGAATGAAAGGTTCACAAAATCCATGATAGTCATGTTTTCATTAGTCCGACCGTCAAGATCGGACAAGGAATGGTCTAATACATGGCAACCGTAACTCGCGCAGGAATTTTGCAACGAGTTTAGTCGAAGAGGCCGAAGCCCATGTCCTCGTCGGACTCCTCAGCCTCCTCTTCCTTCTTCTCCTCAGCAGCAGGAGCAGCACCGCCGGCAGCAGGGGCGGCGGCGGCAGCAGGAGCAGCGGAGGCGTAAGCGTCAGGGTTGGCGATACGGTCCTTGAGCTCCTCAATCTCGGGCCAGCTGTACTCGGTCTGGATGGCGACAGCGAGGACCTTCTTGTAGCCGTTGATGAGAGAGTGCATGACGGAGGGCAGAGTGGGGTAGTTGAGGGCCAGGGAGACCGTGGTGATGGTCTTGATGGCGCTGCTGAAGGCATCGAGGAGCTGAGACTCCTCAATGTCCAGAACATCGGCGGGGAAGCACTGGCCGTTGTCGTACACCTGGGCGATGGTCATACCGTAGGTGAAGGGGGAGATGTTCAGCATGTTCAGCAAGGTGGCCTCAGAGGGACCGACCTTGGCGCCAGCCTCAACGAGCTTCAGATCGGTGGTAATTTCGATGGTACCACGAGCGATCTTGGTGGGGACACCGAGAGCCTGGAAGAAAGAAGTCTTACCGGGTTCCATACCGGTGTTACCAGCGGGAATCCAGACGTCGGCGGGAGCGACGGCACCAGCACGAGCAGGAGCAGCGACACGGTTGGCCAGAATCTTGGCCTTAACATCCTTCAGGTCACCGTTGGTGAAGATGAAACCGACGTTGCCTATCATACAGAAATTAGCACAACTCCTCCAAATCCCGTTGTTTCCCATCCCACAAGGGTAAAAGGTATTCTACTCACCCTTAACGTGAGGAAGCAGACGCTCGTACTCCGGGTTGTCGGTGATGAAGCCCTTGATGGCACGGCGAACCTGGATTTCATGGTCAATGGCTGTCGGAACAGTAAAATCAGGACGATCAACATACCATAGTGTTCTTACCCATCAGGACGACGGCCTGGCCACGGAGAGCGACACGGATCTCGTGCATCTGCTGAGAGCTGACATTGTCGACACCGACAATGAAGACGGTGTTGTACTCATCGAGAAGGCTCTTGAGCTTATCGAAGTAAGCGGCCTTGGTAGCTGACTTGCCCCCCATGTCTTCTTAATTCACTGAAGATAGGTTATTTAAGGGCAAGGAAGAATTTTGTGAAATTTGGTGTTGTCCGATATGAATCGTGACGTTGAAAGTTCATCAAGAGAAATTCCGCCGGCGGTCATTTTGGGGAAATTCTTCGTGTGGATTCGCGAAGCGAGACAATCACGTGAGCTCCACCCGTCGCAGTGCAAAAATGCCCAATGCAGCGTTAGGGCCGGAGTCAGTGTATAGGCCTGTAGTTGTGACGAATCGACGATTTATACAAGACTCGTTGGGGTCTGATCGCTGGCACCTATTTGTTTTTCGGATTCTTGGTTGTTGTGCTTGAGCAATCATCTAGTCAATTCTACAGACTATTTGGCTGTATTATCGCAGGACCCGTACCTCTCAATATGGTGGTCAACTACCAACATCCGATTCAATGCATCAGATATGTAGAGAGACAAACAACTGGTTTCCGCAATCTGTTTCTCGCTTCTGCTGGCTCGAAAATATACACCTACGCTGCTGAGACCGGAAAACAGCTTGCTATCTGGCCTGAGGCTGCCAATGCTGCAGATTCTACAGTAGTCAGTGTAGCACCAAGCTCTGAAGGGGACGAGCCATCAGCTAAGAAGAGAAAGGTTTCTCCAGCCCCGGAGCAGACAGCGAAAGGAGGCCAATCGGGAACCTCAACCGCTTGGTCAACGATTCCCATCTTGGCCGTGTCATCTGACGGCAACTTTGTGGTTGCCGTCACGGGTGAAGACAAGTGTCTTCGTGTCTTTGAGATAGAAGAGAGTGGCCATCTCAAGCAATTGAGCGAGAGGTACGTCCGTTATCATTGCTTTATAATATAAGCGAAACGCTTACGTTCTGGTAGACATATGCCCAAGCGGCCATCTGCGATCGCTTTGGTTGACGATGATAAAACCATCCTGTGTGGTGATAAATTCGGGGATGTCTATTCTCTACCACTAATCGACACTGGAAAATCAAGTATCGCGCCCAAAATCCATGGCAAAGTCAAGCCGAATCAGCCAGCAGCAACGACTTTGACTGTCCACAGTAAGCGAAACCTGGCATCGCTGGAACAGCAGATGCGACATTACGGCCAGAAAGAGAAGACCGCAGAAGAGAAGCCTGCGTCTGCCTTTGAACTCCATTTGATTCTTGGGCATGTGTCGATGCTCACAGACTTAGTCTACGTCTCCATTCCAGTGGATGCAACTTCGGATCGAAGGCGCCCATACATCTTCACGGCGGACCGCGATGAACATATTCGGGTCTCTCGCGGCCCTCCTCAGGCGCATATCATTGAGAACTACTGCCTGGGGCACACCTCGTTCGTTAGTAGCTTGTGCGTTCCCCAGTGGGCGCCTGAATATCTCGTTTCAGGAGGAGGTGATGATCACTTGATTGTATGGAGGTGGAATGAGGGCCGGCTCGTACACAAGGTCCCCTTGGTTGAAAAGGGGGCAGACTCTGAAGTTATTGTTCGTCGTATCTGGGCCTTGTCACTTACCAAGGCCGCAAACTCTCAGGAGAATGCGAATGTCATCCTCGTTGCATTAGACGGGTATGTTGATCCATACGAACTACATCATGAACGAGACTTACGATTCATTCCAGGTCCTTGAAGCTTCTTTGCTTTACGCTTGAGTCTGATGGCTCGCTGAAAGCACAGAACTCCATCCAGGCTTCTGGCAACGTACTTGACCTAACAGTTCCCGCCGAGAACAGCTCGATAGTAGTGTCTGTCGACGCAGTGCGGGAGCCTGGTTCCACACAAGACTGGAGGACTACTCCCTCATCGCCGTCGACCCTGGTCGAGGCTTTCCACCTGAAGCCAGCGTCAGAGGGTGTCGATTGGGAGCTCACATCAGAGGCGATCACTGCACAGATAAATTCCGAGGGTACCTCCGAGATATCAGCAGACCTCCATGAGAAGCAGAAGAAGGAGTTGAACGATTCGTTGTATAGCTTGGGCAACCTGCGGAAGAAGAATTTTGGTGAAGACGACTAATGTTGAGGAGAAAATGTACAATATCTTAATTAGCATAGAATTTTGCATAAATACTGGGTTGTCTCAGCATGCTTTCATGCTTTCATGCTTTCTTTTCGTAGGACCGATACTTCGATTTGAGTACCCTCTGGAAGATCGATCGATCACGGCAGGCTGCCGGCCGGGCCCGCACTCTGCAACCCGAGGTGAATGTCACCCCGCCTCAGATCTTTTTTTATTTCTTACAAATGTAACTCCCACTCATATTCAAAATGCAGGAAAAATTTGAGCCTTTGAAGAACGACCTTTTGCTCAGAGCCGCCAGAGGTATAAGGTGACTCGAGATTCCGCGCGCGGACAATTGAAGGAACTGATGTGATCTTTAGGCGAGCGAGTTCCGCGTCCGCCAATATGGGTTATGCGACAAGGTATGTTCCTGGACCGATATCCTACTTTGTATCACTGAAGTGTATCATTGAATCACTTCTTGTCTACCTCTGGCACTAACTAATCAATGTTCTAGCTGGCCGCTATCTCCCCGAATACCATGAAGCGAAAGGAAACCGCGATTTTTTCGAATGCTGCCGGAACCCGGAGATTGCATCCACGCTGACCATCCAGCCCGTGGATCGGTACGCCGGATTGATCGATGCTGCGATCATCTTCTCGGATATTCTTGTCATCCCCCAGGCGATGGGAATGCAGGTCGAAATGGTGGACAAAAAGGGACCTCACTTCCCTGAACCTCTGAAGTCGCCGGACGACGGACAATACGAGAAGGTTATGCAGAAGGAGGTCAACGTGAAGGAGGAGCTGGACTACGTGTACAAGGCCATCACGCTTACCCGGCACAAGTTGAAAGGCCGGGTGCCTCTGATTGGCTTCTGCGGTGCCCCATGGACTCTGCTCTGCTACATGGTTGAAGGCGGCGGGACCAAGCTGTTCGTGCAGTCGAAGACTTGGATCTACAAATATCCGAAGGAGTCGCAGGCACTGCTGCAGAAGATTGCCGAGATCTGCGTGGAATATCTGGCTCTCCAGGTCGCGTCCGGGGCGCAGCTCGTCCAGGTGTTTGACTCCTGGGCCGGAGAAATGTCCCCTGCGGCTTTCAAGACCTTCTCCCTCTCGTATCTGCGGTACATTTCTGCAAATCTCCCCAAGAGACTGGACGCGATGGGTCTGGAACGCGTGCCAATGACCGTCTTCGCCAAGGGGGCGTGGTACGCTCTCGAGGATCTTTGCGAATCTGGCTATAATGTTGTTGGTCTTGACTGGTTGCACGATCCTGCTGAGGCGATGCAGATTGCCAAGGGCCGCGTAACGATCCAGGGCAATGCCGACCCCGGCGTACTTTATGGTAGTCGCGAAGCTATCACCGAAGCCGTCGAGGTCATGGTGAAGGGCTTCCAGGGTGGCAAGCATGGATGGATTGCTAACTTGGGTCACGGTAAATCCTCGTCTCTTGTACGAACTTCACCAAGTCAACCACTAATGGTAACAGGTATCACTCCATTTGTGAAACCGGACGATCTCAAATTCTTCTTCGAAGAGATTCACCGTTTGACGGCCGCATAGACAGACGATATACCCTGTGTTCAGGCATGAAAAAGCATCGTACTGAGAATCTAGCCTATTTACACTATATCATTTGTACACATCTCCATTCGAAGCGTTTCGTCAAGACTGCTTATATCGGTATGCCTAGACAGCAATGTCCTCATTCCTACAACGACATGATTAGTGTCAAAACCCGTAACCGCAAGATGAGTAGCGACGGAGTAATGAAACCGGGTCGAGACTGAAAGACGTACCAAAGCTCCGGCTTCTCCTTCATAAACTTCTCCATCAATTGCTTGCACTCCTCGTTATCTAGCACCACCACTTCTTTACCCCGATTCAGAAGATATTCTTCGCCGCCCATGAAGCTCTTGTTCTCCCCGATGACAACCCGCTTAACCTTGTAGAGTATGCAGGCACCCGTGCACATGTCGCATGGTGACAGCGTGGTGTACATAGTCGCACCCTCGTAGGCGGAGGCGGGAAGACGGCCGGAATTCTCGAGGGCAGACATCTCGGCCTACGATGGATTGAATGTGAGCTTCGCTTGTCCATTGCGCAATGCCAGCGCGTACAGGGATGATCGACAGCGATCCAAACAGAGGTAAACTGTATCAATTGGGACTAACATGCAAGGTTGCGCTTCCTTTCTGAACGCGCATATTGTGTCCACGGCCTAGGATCTTGCCATCCTTGGACACCAGAGCTGCGCCGATAGGGACTCCGCCTTCAGCGGCACCTTTCTTTGCCTCCTCCAAGGCGGCGATGAAGCCAGCATCTGTTTCCATCGTGAAGAGTTTCAAGATGCGAGTACAGAGTATCAAGGAAAGCAAGCTCAGTACACGAGTGGTAAAAGAAGGATGAATTCTAGATAAGTTATGTAGTCAATATCAGAGGTGGGTTTCGACGGGTCCACTATCTCGGTACAGCTTGTCGTTGATAACTTCCGAGGCTGACGAGCATTGTTCTCATCTCAGAGATTAGCGGCATCAGACTCACGACTCACGAGCAGATATGTTTCGTTTGAGTCCGAGCTTCCGTATCAACTACCTACTAATTTACTTAGACGCTGAGGAAAAGATGTCCCTATTCGTAGACTAGGTACGATATTGGCAATGAGCGTCAATGCATGTCATGTCGGGAAATCCCCTCCTTCCTTTCTGGGGCTGTCTCTTATCTCTTATCGATAAGAATCGAGGCAATCATCCACTTCCGCCACATCTGAGCCCCAATACGGATCACTCCGATGAAAGAAAAGTTAAACAGAGGTGCCAGAGTTCAATCATACGTGGAAAGAAGGTGTAGGGGGCTCTTTACAAATTCGCCTTCGAGCGCAAGATTTATTCAAGTGACTAATGGTCAGAACAGTAACAAATTGACTTTTATGTAAATTAACGCGGAGAGATTAGCAATCTAAGAATGAGCCTTGGACGGGGCTCATATGGATGACTCTTTGTCCTTCCGCAGCGCTGTATTGTTATGTATAGGGCTGGTGGAAGACAGCGGAAAATTACTTTCAAACAGAACAATTACGCAGCAGAATGCCAGGAGTGCCCATAGACCGACGTGTAAGGAACAGTGTATTACAAAATCCCAGTCAGCCATGGAAAGGCTGCGATGCGGACAGAAGGTCATGGAATTGCATCGAAACGGGCAGAATCCCGCTCGGGCCATGGATTCAGCCTGTGACGGGGTCAGTCGAAGCAGCGAGAATGTCGTATCGACCACTTTCGGAGTTTTGTAAGGCTTGCATGAAGAGAATTCCCTTTCTTGAAAAGAAAGAAAAGGCGAACCTGTAATCACCTGTGCATTCTCATTTTAAGGCGACTCGTACCGACTAGATATACCCTTCATCCCTTCCTCTCGACTTCCTCGGAGTTTCAATATATCATATCTCCGTTTTTAGATACGCAGATCTTGAAAACGCCTGGCGTATCAGAGGACATCTTTCGCATAGAAAAGTGGTTCTTTGGTGCCTGCCCTGGTAATCAGATTTCAGAAGTTTACGGTTCCAGCCTGAACAGCCGCCTGTCGCCGCTCCTGTCCTGATAATCTGGAAAGGGTCAGACCTACCTCCAGATTCTTTCTCTTAACCTCACTCCGACCTTCAATTCCTCTGAATTCGATACTGACTATTTGGTCGATATCTCCTACGCCTCTCCTCTCCTCTCTTCTCTTCTCTTCCATTTTTTCTACCCGTCCAGATTTCGGACAGTCTTTTCTTAGTCGAAAAGTTTTTCCTGTCGCTAGTTCTATCTCGCCAAACAAGCCTCATTTTAGACTCATATCACAATGGTCAAGGACACTAAGCTCTATGATACCCTGGGGGTAAGTATCAGGCTTATAATCTTTATTACAAGGATTGAATTGACGGTTTGATTGTCAGGTACCCGAGACAGCCTCTGAAGCTCAGCTGAAGAGCGCCTACAAGAAGGGTGCCCTCAAATACCATCCCGGTATGTGATTGTCAATGATGTTCGCGCTGGATGGATTTGGAGTCTAACAGGCGATGTATAGACAAGAATGCAAACAATCCGGAAGCCGCCGAAAAGTTCAAGGAAATGTCCCGTGCCTATGAAATTCTTTCGGATCCTCAGAAGCGTCAGATTTACGATCAATATGGTGAAGAAGGTCTTGAAGGCGGTGCTGGTGGTCCAGGAATGGGTGCCGAGGATCTCTTCGCTCAGTTCTTCGGCGGCGGTGGTGCGTTCGGCGGTATGTTCGGCGGTGGCATGCGGGATCAAGGCCCCAAGAAGGCCCGTACCATTCACCACGTACACAAAGTCAGCCTGGAGGATATCTACCGTGGCAAGGTCTCAAAATTGGCATTGCAGAAGTCGGTCATTTGCGCCGGATGTGACGGCCGCGGTGGTAAGGAAGGCGCCGTCAAGTCCTGCACTGGCTGCAATGGTTCCGGTATGAAGACGATGATGCGCCAGATGGGCCCCATGATCCAGCGATTCCAGACCGTTTGTCCCGACTGCAGCGGAGAGGGAGAGATCATCCGCGAGAAGGACCGTTGCAAGCGCTGCAATGGTAAGAAGACCGTCGTGGAGCGCAAGGTGCTCCATGTCCACGTCGACAAGGGTGTCAAGAACGGCCACAAGATCGAGTTCCGCGGCGAAGGTGACCAGATGCCTGGCGTCCTACCGGGTGACGTCGTATTTGAGATTGAGCAGAAGCCTCATACCCGTTTCCAGCGCAAGGATGACGATCTGTTTTACCACGCTGAAATCGACCTCCTGACTGCTCTTGCCGGCGGTTCTATCAACATCGAGCACCTTGATGACCGGTGGCTGACTGTCAACATCGCTGCTGGCGAGGTTGTCACTCCTGGTATGTGTTTGTTTAATTCTTCGTCTGGTTGAGTCGCTGTAGCTAATATCTCCTCTAGGTGCCATCAAGGTGATCAAGGGCCAGGGTATGCCCTCTTACCGCCACCACGACTTTGGTAACCTGTACATCCAATTCGATGTCAAGTTCCCTGAGAAGGATCAGCTCCAGAACCTCGATCTCCTGGAGAAGGTCCTGCCACCTCGTATGGAGCAGCCTCAGCCTCCGGCTGATTCGATGGTTGAGGATTTCGAACTGGAGGACATTGACGCCAGCGAGGGCTCTCAAAGACGTGCTCACGGCGCCGCCAGCGCCATGGACGAGGACGACGATGATGTTCCTCCTGGCGCAGAGCGTGTGCAGTGTGCTTCGCAGTAAAAGGCATTGAGGAAGATGGTTGTGGCTAATATAGTTGATGTGTGCTGGTGCACTTACGCGAGTCCCTTATGATACCATGTGGGGGAGCCGTCCCTGGTACAATTCGGTTCCTTTGTGTTTCTGACTTAATGATTTGCTTTGCGGTGGCGTTCGCTCTGAAGACCTGGGAGATGACAATGGAGATGTCTCTTTTTCGTTTGATTTTTTCATTATACTTCAGATTCCCTTGCATAGGATTTTCTTTCTGTTTCGTGGGATGAAGCATTGACTTTGATGAGGTGATGAGGATGAATGATGTTGTTTCATCGAAGATTTGCTTGCTTCGGCTCGCTTGAGTGCCGCGGGATTCTTTCACATCTATAGACTTGAATGCGGATTGGGTATTAAAACTTCAAGAATATCTGTCACCGAACTCCGTAGTCTTGGCCTCTTGCGATCTTCTTTCTGCGCAATACTCGGCCATTTGATAGTCCCGAGCAATCATAGCTCGGCTTTCGCTCAGGACCTCCTAAGAGTACTGACGTATGGAAAATGACGATGAAACATTGACCCTCAAAACTCCACTTCATTGGACTGATTTCGATCACCATTACGCCTATCGTCGTTGGGAATTACTCTACAACTTGGAAGTACGTATAACCTGGCAGCGTCCCATCCACATGACGCCTAAGGAGCCACTTACCTTGCTTTCTGAATGCATAGTGAAGAGGTTCGCTGTCGGATTGGAGCTAAGATATGATTGTCGAGGATGGTTCGAAAAGGGAAGGCCCATAGGTATGATTTTAGGGTTCGGAATCCAGGTCAGAGAAGACGAGCCGGTTCTCGAGCATGTAGGCAGTTCAAAGGTAGAATTGGGCACGGTTGATTGATGGGCTGGAAGTATGCGATTATTGGGATGCTTGTGGTGGAGTCATCTTGCTTCGTAGCGCACTTTGACTGGCATTCGAGAGGCGGTTTGGGGCATCTCCCACAAACCAAGGACGACTACCCCCAGAGAAAACGAAGGTTTTCAGACGTATCGCCTTATTCAGTGGAGTAGACAAGCCTAGGTCGAGGATTTCAGATTAATTGAGGTAGAAAGGAATGATAACTGCTCTCGACTGATAGCTAGATTGTTGCAATGAGCTCATTCAGCCGCCGTTGGGGCGAGTCGTTTTGACTGCCTCTGGGCCAAGGGTGGCTCGACGATAAGCAAGAGCACACTAGATGTCAGTATCTGTACTCGACTAGTGACTGCGCCGTGACCGTGATCGCCTGACCAAGAACACCGGCATTGGCTTGGACATGGTTGACGCTGACCATGACGG